ATAGTAGGAAGAGAAACAAAAAAAGAAAAAGGAAGAATAAAGAGAAAAGAAAAAGCGAAAGAAATGACGTGAAAAGGAGAAAGAGAGAAGAAGAGGAAAGGAGGTTATGCAAATTTTTTCTTGAAATGTAAAATATTATGAGCTGGGTAAGTGCCTAACAAAGGAGGTCCACTGACTATTCCAAAGCAAAGCCCAATGACTATTTGACCCATATATATATATATATATATATATATATATATATATATATATATATATATATATATATATATATATATATATATATATATATATATATATATATATATATATATATATATATATATATATATATATATATATATATATATATATATATATATATATATATATATATATATATATATATATATATATATATATATATATATATATATATATATATGTACTTCCACATGCGTAATCTTTAAGGTACACACATTTTTCATACTTAACTCCACCCTTTTTAGAACTCATTCATTGACTTGGACGTTGGAATGCTAACCTTGCATGTTCACTCCCGCGTTCAATCGTTCCTGAGATTTACAAGACCGCATCAAGAGTCCACCACCTCATGTTACACATATTTTTTATTCTAATATGATACATCAACAAAAAATTGAGAGAACAAGGCAAATAAAACAAAAAAGTTTCCACACGGACCATACATTATCAGTTTTCTTCAATTAATTTTGGACAATGATTTAAATCACATAAATCTAGGCCATCCCTTCATTCCAACATTCATAAAAGGCATAATTAGTCTTAAAATCCCTTAACTTAATTTAATGTTTCGCTTTGATCCCTTTACTAAAAAGTATTACATATTAGTGCCTTAAGAATTGTTCAGTTATACAAAAACGTTTTTGGCATTAAAAGTTCTTAAAAAATGTTAACTTTGGCCATGTGGTGTGACATGTAGTCATTATTTAAAAATTTGAATCATTATATGTATTAAAAAAATAGTATTTTGGAGAGGTTTTGTTTTCGAAGGTTAAAACCTATGCAAAATGTCAATTATGTGCAAAAAAAATAACAACAATTCTTCTGGTGCAAAAACAAAAATAATAACATATTATAAAGGACACCATTGATAGAATTATACTTTAAATATTTTGGTGCAACTTCAACCAAACACTTTAGATCCATCGGAAGATAGTTAACATTGATGTACCCAACAAAAGCTTTTAACGCTTTAAATCCAATGGAAGATGAGTGCTCAAATATTATTCACTAAATATACATTCTACAATCACGGTATGTAACCCACAGAGTTAATTTAATTTCCAATCAAGTCTTTTAGATACAGAGTACCAACTTACCCACTTGTTCAGTACATAACTTTAATTTCATTCAAAACTAAAATATGTGAAACTTACAAGCCATTCCCTATCTCCTTGAAAACTTTTGCGACTTCAGAGGATTTATAACCTGCTATTACACTATCATTAATGAAACCTTTATACACAACACCAAATCCACCTTATACTAAAACAAAACTGCTTAGCCGAAAGTCTCGATTCGTTGTATATAAAAATATGGACGTTGTTGTATCCAACACCTTCACGAAATTCTTTGATATCTATCGAACAAGTACCTAATAGAGTAGTTTGTTCATTTCCGAACGAATCTGAACTAATATAAATTGCAAAAATATAAGCTACTTGGTGTAGTTGATGACTTAAATCTTCACAAAAAAGGCGGCCTGCTCAAGTTGAAAAAAAGAAGAAATAATGGAACCATCACAACATGATTGTTGTACTCACTTGATAAATTAATGCCTTGAAGGTGCACCAACCACCAAATTCTCAATTGCAACATAAGCTACATACTCAGTTACTGCCTTGACAACATCATTGTCATCAAGTAGAACATCTAGACAATTTATGTAACAAAATTTATAACAACATCTCACAATAATCAATTAATGAATTAATCAATGAAAATTGTAAGGAATGATTAAAGATGAAACCAGAAAGTACCTACATATTTTCGTGTGCAATATCAATGAAAAGTAAGAAAGAGATCTCTAGTAGCATTTTCAATTTATTTTTGTGGAGATGCTGAAGTACTCGTGACATTACAAACAACGACGACATCACTACGGTTTTCCTGGCATAGTGGTGCGATTTTTGATGTGGTAGTTTTCAATCATTTTCTCGAATCTTAATTTTTTGTGGTTTTTGTAGAGGAGATGACACAAAGTTTAGATATAATGGTGGTTTTTTCAAAGGGTGGTGCGTGTTGGTTTAGATCTGACCACGAAAGTGGCAGTCTTCTTCTCGTGGTCACACACAATGAAGCTGAAGAGAGAGCCAAGTCTTGTGTTTATAAGGGAAAATGAAGAGATAGAGATGAAGAATTGTAGTTGCGGAAGAAGTGCTGGGTCAAATAGTATATTCATTCAAGTCCCACATTGGGTAGTAGGAAGAAAATAGAATTTGAGTATTAATATAAATAGGGATGTTTAGTTTTAGTTTTCCACACAACAAGTAGTCTTTTTAGGTGTATTGGGGATTTGAGTAGTTGTGTGTTCAGAGTTGGTTTTCTATTTTTTCGTTCAAAAATAGATTGTTGAGAGGGTTTTCTATTTTTCCGTTCAAAAGTAGTTTGTTGAGAGGGTTTGCAATTTTTCCGTCCAAGAATTATAGTTGAGAGAGTTTGCAATTTTTCCGTCGAAAAATTGTAACTGAGCGAGGGTTTGCAATTTTTCCGTCAAAAAATTGTAACTGAGAGAGGGTTTACAATTTTTGTGTTTTCGCATGCGGAGATATTTGTTTATTTGATATTTTCCCTATAAACTGGTATCAGAATTAAGGTTCCGATCAATGGAGAAAGGAAGATTAACAATTATTCTGATCAAAGGAGAAAGAAGACAAAAAGATTGAAGAGTAATAATTTACAAATATGCATAATCATTATAATTATAATGATCATTTTGAAGATGAAGTTGAACACAAAATGAAGATACGTGAGACTTTGGATGAAATGAGAATTTGTTGGGTCAAATAATATATTCATCCAAGTCCTACGTCGGATAGTAGGAAGCCCACGTCGGATAGTAGGAAGAAAATATAATTTGGGTATTAATATAAATAAGGATAATTAGTTTTAGTTTTCTACACAATAATAAAATGTAGTCTTTTAGTGTATTGGAGATTTAAGTAGTTGTGTGTTTAGAGAGAGTTTTCTATTTTTCCGTTTAAAAATAGATTGTTGAGAGTTTTCTATTTTTTTTTTGTAAAGATTAGAAGTTGAATTATGATTTTGTGAGATTTATTTTATATTTTTTCTGATTTTATAGATGTCCTACCGCTGTGATATTTATTTATTTGTTATTTTTTCATCAAGAAAGAGAAGAGAGAGGGAGAAGAAAAAAAGAGGGGGAGGGGAAGAGAAAAGGAAGGGGTGACAACAAATTTAAGATTTCTTTTCTTCTACTATTGTTAAAATTTCAAAATTTATATAAACAATTAAAAACAAAAAGAGAAAAAATTCATATCATATTTTATATGTTTAGCAAGATAAAAGTTAATGATTTTTTTGAAAAATTAATAACATAACAAAATAGTTTAAAAGACTTTTTGTAATATTTTTTAATTAAGAGATTTAAGCGAAACAATAAATTAAATTAAAAGACTAAAAAAATACATTAAACCTTTATAAAAAAATCACCACCAGTCCACTAATTGAGTCTATAGACACATTAACCACCTTAGATCTATCCAAAACTAACACGTAATTTTCACATTCCAGTTGTTAAACCAATTTCCCAATCCATTTTCACAATACCTAAATTTTCTTCTAACCACCAACAAAAAGATTTTTTTTCTTACTTCACAAAAGACAAAAATCTAATTTTATTTATAGTAAATAGAATATTAAATCTTAAATTTTCATTACAACAAAATTATAAAAAAAATCATCTTAGAACGTAAGTATAAAGTTCAAATGAACTCCACAATATTAATAAAGAAATAATTATATATTAAATATATTATTTAAATGGTTAAATTTAATTCAAAATTAAAATTTACACACCTCATATACAATGGTATTCCATCACTTAGTAGCTATGGTATTCCATCACTACATTATATAATATCAAAAAAAAAATAACGTTTATTAATTCATTTTAGTAAATGACAATGTACCCTAAATATCAACAAAGGATGCTTTCTCTCCCCCCTTAATTGGACTTTTCCATTATTATTTAGTTGACCTTTTAATGTTTAGTTCTTTTATTTGATTATTGATATTATATAATGTAGTGTCAATGACACACATTGAAGAATATCAAATAAATGAAGAAAAAAAATGTTATCTTGTTTTATTTAATTATCTTATCTTTTATTTTGTTTTTATTTTTTATGTTTCCCGTAAATTAATATAGCTCTCTAGTCTCTATGAAAGATTGTACAAGGAAAGGAAATTAATGATGCACTGTCGATCACTATTATATACAAAAGATTTATTTTGTGTTATCAAATATTTGATTCAATTATTCTGATTCAATGCCATATTATTTTATTTTTAAAAAAATCAATTATTTTTATAATTTGCACGATACCCAATTTAAATACATAGGTACCAAAATATTTACCGATATATCAATTATTCACTTAATTCAAAAAGAGTATTTTTCCCCTTTTTATTATGCTAACGATTTAACCTGTATCTTTAAAAAATACTGCTATTTTGGGCATGTCATTGTCGAATAAAACCGTGTGCCTCTTGAGACACATGCTAAAGTCTCAGAGAAATTATCAACCACATGGCTGCTGCTCAATATTTATATGCAAGAAAAATCAAATAGTTTCGTAAAAGTCAAAATATGCTAAAATCACAAAGAAATTATAACATATTCTCTATTTTTCCAAATTGTCATACGCAAATATTCATGAACATCCAACAACTCCATCACCTTTAAATACTAGTGTTCTCATCAAATCTCAACTCATTACCCTTTTCTACATACTACAATGGCTTCTGCTTCTTCTAGTAGTGCTTTCTTCACCTTTCTTCTAATCCTTACCTTTCTTTCATTTTCTCATATCAAAGTATCTGAAGCACAAGCCACACCTCCTATAGTAAAGGGACTATCATGGACCTTCTACAATTCAAAATGTCCTAAGCTTGAATCTATCATCAGAGCTGAGCTCAAGAAAATCTTTGATCAAGATATTGGTCAAGCTGCTGGCTTGCTTCGCCTTCACTTCCATGACTGCTTTGTTCAGGTAAACAAAACCTCAACCCTCTATAGTTAGTTACATAGAACATTTGACATGGTTTGTTTTAATATGTTTGAAAATTTGATAAAAATGTAGGGTTGTGATGGATCAGTATTATTGGATGGATCAGCAAGTGGACCAAGTGAGAAAGATGCACCACCAAACTTGACTCTTAGGGCCGAGGCATTCAAGATAATCGAAAAACTTCGCACCATCGTCGAGAAGCAGTGCGGAAGAATCGTCTCTTGTTCTGATATCACCGCCGTTGCAGCGCGTGACGCTGTTTTCCTTGTAAGTGCTAACCCAAAATAAATCATGAGTTAGTTTATCTGTAGCCTGACACCTCTGAGAAAAGACGTGTCTGTGTCCTGGTGTCCGTGGTTCATAGGTTATTTTACATTTAATCTCGAATGTTGTTGCATTGCAGTCAGGAGGACCGGAGTACAGAATCCCATTAGGAAGAAGAGATGGGTTAACATTTGCAACAAGAGAAGTAACATTACAGAACCTTCCTTCACCAGCAAGCAACACAACAACAATCCTAAACTCACTTGCAACCAAAAACCTTAACCCAACAGATGTAGTAGCACTCTCAGGTGGGCACACAATAGGCATAAGCCACTGCAGTTCTTTCACAAACAGACTCTACCCAACACAAGACACTGTCATGGACAAAACCTACGGCAAAAACCTTAAACTCACTTGTCCTACTTCCACCACAGACAACACAACTGTTCTAGATATTCGAAGTCCTAACAAGTTTGATAACAAATACTATGTCGATCTCATGAATCGTCAGGGTCTTTTTACCTCGGATCAAGATTTGTACACTGATAAGAGGACTAAGGGTATTGTTACTGATTTTGCTGTGAATCAGTCTCTTTTCTTTGAGAAATTTATTGCTGCTATGCTTAAAATGGGTCAGCTTAATGTTTTGACTGGAACTCAAGGAGAGATTCGTGCCAATTGCTCTGTGAGGAATAAGGATAGGAAATCTTTCATTGCTTCTGTTGCGGAAGATGTGGTTGAAGGATTTTTAGAAATGTAATAAATGATAGCAAATCTTTGTTTCTTGTTTCGAGAGTTTAGTTTTATCATGATGTAATAATGTTCCTTACTTGTATCATAGTAATGGAAAAATGTGAGTGCTTTTGCATTTTGCATACATGTTGTAAGAATGTTAATTTGGAAAAATAAAAGCTTGTGTTGCATCTTTTGTTTAGTTGAATTGGTGTAATTTAAGATGCTTCAGCCCTCAGGTAACAATGGTTGGACTAACAGTGATTAGATATAATAAGCTTAAAATAAGTTGTCTATATAAGAGGATTGATCAGGATAAGAAGTGATCTCCTCACTACTTAACTTGATTGCAAGATTGCACGGTGTTTGGTTGAAATAATTCAACAATCATCAAGAAGATCTAATGTGTATTTTTTTTTTCGATTCAAAGCAAATCCATCTTGGATCTTGCCAACTTAAGACAAAGAAAAAGTCTTAAGGGATAAGATCCTTGATATGAAACTGTGTATCAAGGACAGTTTTCACATTAGTAATTTTTATCTTTGAATTTCCAGTCAAGCTATGTCATCAACATAGACTAGAAAAGCTACAAAGGAATATTAAGGTTTTCATAAACAAAGAATGGTTAGCTTGAGACTCGGAACAACCTATAGAAATAAGAGTTATAGTGAGACTCATAACAACCTTAAGAAATAAGAGTTTTAGTGAGTTTGTGGTGCCATTGACAGATGACTTGTTTTAAGCTATAAAGAGAAATGTCTATTTTTTAGTGAAATTATCATAATTTGAAAGATAAAAATTAGGTCATTTCCTCTTTCATCGAATCAGAAGTTCAAATATATCATTGTGATCCATATTTATCGATCTCTTATCAAATTTGGTTCCCATGCGGATAACAAAATCATTGGAGAAGTCTCTAAGGCTTAATAGTTACGACGAAAAAGGAGATCCAGGTGAACATGTGCAACATGTTGATGAATATGATCTAGTTCAAGTATCTGTTCGACGGAAGTGTATACTCATGAACCGACTTGAGCAAGAATTACATGGATCGCTTCACTGTCTGGAAGAGGCAATCTATAACAATAGTCTTGAGCAAGAATTTATCTGACCAAAAGAGGCAGTCTATAACAATATTTGTACATAGAAGAATTCAGATTTTTGTCTATGGTTAAGTTTTGTTCATTTAACATGATATTTTTGGAGATGAAGATGTTTTCGACTTTCACTAACAAATAATACATTCTATTCTATGATAAAGTTTCTACTGCAATTGTAGGAGAGACGGTTGTGCAATTTTTAAATTTTGATCTATAAAAAGGAGTTTTTGAAACTTGTTCAAAAAGTTTAGAAAGATATCGAGGTTGAGGAGAGAAGTGATTATTAAAGAGAAGCTAAAGCAGCTGGAAGTTTTTCTCAAGAATTAAACTTTTTATGTTTTTGGGAGGAAGAATTTGGAGGTGGAGGAGAGCCTGTATGTTTTTTAAAATAAATAACATATTAAAATATTTGTTAAGTTGAATATTAAAAAAAATTAAAAAAAAAAAAAAAAAACATGAACCGAAGACTTGCAAAATGTCTTCCGGTGAACAAACGAAAAAAAATATGAACCGGAAGACTTGCAAAAAGACTTCCGGTAAACAAACGAAAAAATATATAAACTTGAAGACTTCCAAAAGGACTTCCGGTGAACAAACGAAAAAAAATATGAACCGATAAACAAACGAAAAAAATTATAATTATTTATACGAGGATATTTTAGTCCAAAAAATTTTAGTGTAAAGATATGAATATAATTGTAAGAGTATGAAGTAAAAAAGACCTTTGCATCAAAAAGGAAATTTGGAGGCCCAAGGCAAATACCTCCTTTGCCTACCTCTTGGGCCGGGCCTGTTGGTGGCCTATTAAAATTTATTTAGATGTGGAAGCTATGTTTTACGACGCATCATGTCATGGAAGCATATGCCATAATAAATTTAGAATAGGTCGCTTTAAAGCGCTGACATGGTGAAATTTATTGTATTCCACGTTGGCTGTGTGATTTGATATATTATTATTGAGTTGCATATATTATGGCAAATTCCCATATGCAATTCATCATACACATACTAAAACACACAGTCAACACCTTAGACAAACATCAACTATCAAACACCACAACAACATATTCTTTTTTACCCAACATAAAAATTCACACCAAATTCACTCATACATAAAAAATAATACCGCCCAACCATTCCAACATCAACCCAAAAAAATAATACAACAAAATTTTTAACACATAAGTAAAAAATTAAATTACAATGACACGAACGATAAATCTAGAATTTGACACACTCAAAGAAAAAATATTTTAAATAAAAGCGCAAGGACTTCTTCTAAATCACTCACCTCATCACAACCAATTGAACCGTTTATGACAATTAGCACTTTGTCATATGTAACTAAAGGTCAGTCTGCTGAACCACATGTATAATGTAAAAAGTTATAATATAATTTTTATTATATTCAAATAATTTTTTATTACTTTGCCTAATTAAATTGTTTTTTAATTATTTTTTAATATTTGTTTTAAATTAAATAATTATCATAATTAAATAAAAATAATGTATCAAATAAATTTAAAAATATATTACTGTTACAAAATTTTAATGAAAAAACTTTTAGATTTTTGGTGTCTTCTCGTAAATATTACAAAGGCCGTTAATAAAAATGGAATAGAACAAAAATTTTATTAGAAAGTTAGATTGTAGATATTTAATTTGAAAATTGAATATTGGAGTAAAAAAATCTGGAAAAATGGTTTTTATTGTAAAAATATTTATTTTATTTTAATTAATAATAATTTTTATATGAGAGATAAAATCTTTATTTTAAATGTTATTTTTTTTATCTTACGAATTTATTTTTTAATAGTTATTTAATAAAATTAAATTTATATAATTATTTTTTATTTTATATTAATTAATTAATTTCAAATCTACATGTATATATACATTTTATATGGTACTATTTTTGGTCTTATTTGTATATTATATCGAGTCATTATTTAAATTTTGATAAATATCACTTTATTTATTTTTAAATCCACATTTTCATTTTTTTAGTTCAGCCTATATCCTCCACGTGAAACTACAAACGTCGGTCAATTGATGCCACAACTTTTATTTATAGCATGTTTATTTTACAATATATAACCCTTAATAAAACTATCTAATAGTGTTAATATATAACCTTTAAAAATGTAAAAGTAAATAATTAAACAAACTAACATTTTAAAAATGACAAACATGTTATCTAAATATTTCAGATTCATCCTTACCCATACATGCATGATCGACATAATCACTAATAGAATCTTTAAACAATAAAGCGCAACCATCAATCCATGCATGCAAGAGGTAAACACCGACCAAAAATAAATATAGGTTTAATATATTATTGATCATTTAACTTAATTTAAAATTTTTTTTAACTAATAAACGTTGCGTATTAATTTCTTAACAATAATTTCATTAACCAATTTAGTCATTTCTATTAAATGTTGGAGAAAAATGCTAACTTTGACATATATGACAGTCTAGATGGTATTGTGTTATCTAACTTGATTTTTTGAATATTTTAAACTTAATTGTTTTTGTGTTGAAAGCTTTTGTCTGTATTGAAACCTTTATTGTCATTTCATTGTGTTTGAAAAAGTTAAAAGACGAAGAGAAATCATACTTCAGAAAACACGAAGAAAATACGAAGATGAATTTCTCGATTCTAGTCTTGTTTATTATTAATTTCGAATTTTTAATCTTATTGTTGTTAATTTTTCTCTAGATTCTACTTTTGTTGGTGTTAATTTTGAATTTCTTCAATTTTATACAAAATTTATTTGATGAATTTGTTTTATTTTGTTACAGGTTGAAAGATTTGCAGAGAGTGATAAAGAAGAAATTGCAATTTAGGATTTTTACCGTACAATATTTAATTTATAGATTCAACAAGTTTGTTAAATCTAGAACTTTAGATTTCAAAGGTTAGTAAACTATGAATCCATAAATTTACTTTCCTTCTATTACATATGTATTTGGTTTAAGTTGTATTGTTTACTGATCTTACCGGCTGATCAGAATCTAAAGTGGGTCAGAACAACGTCTGCAATGCTGGATGTGAAAGATGATGAGGGGGTGTACTTGTAAGGCACTCCGATGCTAAAGTGAGATCCGAGAGAAAAGAGGGCAAGTACAGAGTATATGTGTTTTAGGATGAATATTGAATACAAACCCTCTCAAATGAGAGGATTTTTATAGTGCCCCCAGCGCTTGGTCATTGATCCCTATTTTCGAGGCGAGATAACTGTTCCCTGAAGAATAGATAACTTCCAGAAACTAGCCACTGGGACGGGCATAAATGCTCAAAACTAGTTGTTGCTACGAGCATAGGTGCAGTAAAAGGCATAAGCGTCGTGATTGTTTCTGGATGGTAGAATCGTGCGTGAGAGGTGTCATACCCTAAATTTGTCCTACCCTTTTTTCAAATATTTTCGCATTCGGGTTTATTTCCAGTATCGCATTGCCTGCATAATATCATGTCTTTTACCCTGAATAAAACCCATAGGTTTGGTTAGCCAGAATGAATATTCGGATACGCAGACAGACTGGTCAAATTGTTTACCAAAGACATCTGATTAATTCAACACAATGTTGTATTTCTCTGGATTAATAATTTTGCGTTAATCAGTTTCTGTGCGGCCGATTTTATTTTCAGTTAATTCTTTTCATCTTATTTTTAGATTATTTAGCATTTAATTTAAAATTGCCCACTCTAGTTTGTTTTTACTTTTTCATCACCTTTTATTCATTATTTTGTAAACTTCGTTTAATATTAATTCCACTTATTTAATTAAAAAAGGGGGCATTTCTTTTTTATTTTCTTGATATTATTTATAATTCTTGTTTGCTAATAATTTTGATTTATGTTAATATTAATGTTAATATTAGTTTTTAATAAGTTGTGTTAACTAATTAGTTGTTTTTTTGT